AGGGGCCCACCTCGTTCTCTGTACATGCAGTCTGGGCCCCAGAGGGCCCCCTTACACTCTACCTAGGGGTCCCTGACCCCAGCAAGCTACCTAGGGGCCCACCACTCTCACTGGATTTGCAGTCTGGAACCCAGAGGGCCCAATTGCCCTTAACTTGTGGTGGTCTCTGACCCCAGCAAGCTACCCAGGGGCTTATCTTTCTCCCTGGACCTACAGTCTGGGCCCCAGTTGGCTCGCTTGCCCTAAAACTAAATTGTCCCTGACCCCAGCAAGCTACCCAGGGGCCCACCTCTCTCCCTGGACTTGCAGTTTGGTATCCAAGGGGCCCCCTTGCCATCCAACTAGTGATCTCCTACCCCAGCAAGCTACTCAGGGGCCCACTTCTCTCCCTGGCTTTGCAGTCTGGGACCCAGAGAGCCCCCTCACCCTCCACCTATGGGTCTCAGACCCCAGCAAGCTACCCAAGGGACCACCTCTCTCCCTGGACTTGCAGTCTGGGCCCCAGAGGGCCCCCTTGCCCTCCATCTAGGGGTCCCTGACCCCAACAAGCTACCCAGAGGTCACTGTCTCTCCCTGGGCTTGCAGTCTGGGCCGGCGAGGGCCCCCTTGCCCTCCACCTAGGGGTGTCATACCCCAGCAATCTACCCAAGGGCCCATCTCTTTCTCTGTAATTGACTTGCAGTCTGAGCCTCAGAGAGCCCTCTAGTCCTCCACATAGGGATCCTTGGCATAAGCAAGCTACCCTGGGGTCCACTTTTCTCTTTGGCCTAGCAGTCTGGGCCCTAGAGGGTCCTTTTTCCTTCCACCTAGGGGTCTCTGACCCCCGCAAGCTAACCAGGGGCCCACTTCCTTCTCAGTACATGCAGTCTGGGCCCCAGAGGGCCCTCTACCCTTCACCTTTGGGACCCTGTCCCCAGCAAGCTTAGGGGCTTACCTTTCTCCCTGGACCTGCAGTCTGGGCCCCAGTTGGCTCACTTGCCCTAAACATAAATTGTCCTTGACCCCAGCAAGCTACCCAGGGGCCCACCTTTTTTCTTGGTCTAGCAGTCTGGGCCTCAGAGTGCCCCCTTGCCTACCACCTAGGGGTCTCTGACCCCAGCAAGCTACCAAGGGGTCCACCTCTCTCCCTGGACTTGCCGTCTGGGACCCCAGAGGGCCCCCTTGCCCTCCACCTAGGGGTCTCTTACCCCAGCAAGCTATCCAGGGGTCCACTTCTCACCATGGACTTGTATTCTAGGAACCAGAGGGCCCCCTTGCCTTTCACCTAGGGGTCTCTGACCCCAGCAAGCTACCCAGGGGCCCACCTCCTTTTCTGTACTTGCAGTCTGGGCCCTAAAGAGGCCCCTCTCCCTCCCCCTAGGGGTCTCTGACCCCAGCAAGCTACCCAGTAGTCCACCTCTCTCCCTGGACTTGCAGTCTGGGCCCCAGAGGGTCCCCTTACCCTTCACCTAGGAGACCCTGACCTCAGCAGGTTACCCATGGGTTCACCCCTCTACCTGGACTTGCTGGCTATGCCACAGAGTTCCCCCTTGCCCTCCAACTAGGGGTCTCAGACCCCAGCAAGGTACTCAGGGGACCACCTCTCTCCCTGGACTTGCAGTCTGGCCCCCAGAGGGCCCCACTGCCATCCATCTAGGGGTCCATGACCCCAGCAAGCTACCCAGGGGTCCACCTCTCAGGGCAAAGGTTCCCTCTGAGGCCCAGACTGCAAGTCTAGGGAGAATGGGTAACCCCTGGGTGGCTTGCTTTCTTCAGGGACCCTTAGGTGGAGGGCAAGGGGGCCCTCTGGGGCCCAGACTGCAAGTCCAGGGAGAGTAGTGGGCCCCTAGGTAGCTTGCTGGGGTCAGAGACCCCTCGGTGGAGGGCAAGGGGGCCCTCTGGGGCCCAGACTGCAAGTCCAGGGAGAGAGGTGGGCCCCTGGGTAGCTTGCTGGGGTCAGGGACCCCTAGGTGGAGGGCAAGGGGGCCCTCTGGGGCCCAGACTGCAAGTCCAGGGAGAGTAGTGGGCCCCTAGGTAGCTTGCTGGGGTCAGAGATCCCTCGGTGGAGGGCAAGGGGGCCCTCTGGGTCCCAGACTTCAAGTCCAGGGAGAGTTGTGGGCCCCTAGGTAGCTAAAAAGTCTGGCCTGGGAAGAATTCGGGAAGACCATGGAGGAAGAATACCGGTTGGCCCCAAACAGATTCTGGCAAACCATCATGTGTCTCCGGAGAGGAAAACAGCTCCACATCGACACTCTTTACAGTGGAAGCGGGGAGCTGTTGACCTCAAATGGGGATGTAGTCAGACGGGGATGTTGAAGGAATACTTTGAGGATCTCCTTAACCCCAAGTAAGCTCTGCAGTGGCAAAGCAACGGGGGTGGATGAGATTCACCCTGTGTATCTTAGGTCTTTGGAGGTTGTGGGGCTGTCTTAACTGACATGTCTCTACAATGTTGCATGGAGGTGCGGAACAGTATCTTTAGAGTGGGCAACTGGGGTGGTGGTTCCCATTTTTAAGAAGGGGGACCGGAGGGTGAGCTCCAACTATAGGGGATCACACTCCTCAGCCTCCCGGGGAAAGTCTATGCCAGGGTACTGGTGTGGAGGATCCAGCCGCTGGTTGAACCTAGGATCCAGGAGGAACAATGCGGTTTTCGTCCAGGCCGTGGTACACTGGACTGGCTCTCTACCCTCACCAGGGTGCTAGAGGGTTCATGGGAGTATGCCCAACCAGTCCACATGTATTTTGTGGACTCGAAGAAGGCTTTCAACTATTTCCCTTGTGAAATTATGTGGAGGGTGCTCTAGGAGTATGGGGTCAGAGGCGTTCTGTTAAGGGCTGTCTCTTCCCTATATGAACAAAGTAGGAGTCTGGTTCGCATTGCCGCCTATATATCAGACTTGTTTCCAGTGTATGTTGGACTCCGGGAGGGCTGCCCCTTGTCACCAATTCTGTTCATAATTTTTATAGACATAATTTTAATGACCACAGGATTTCATCTCTGTTATTTGCAGACAATGCTGTTCTGTTGGATTCAACGAGCATGAACCTTCAGCATGCACTGGGGCAGTTTGCTGCAGAGTTTGACACAGCTGGGATGAAATTCAGCACCTCCAAGTCCGAGGCCAAGTGATCCACCGGAAAAAGGTGGTTTGCCATATCCAGGTTGGAGGAAAGTTCTTACCTCAGGTGAAGGATTTTTGTTCACGAGTGAGGGAAGGATGGAACGTGAGATTGACAGGCTGATTGGTGCAGCGGCTGCAGTAATGTGGTCAATGTACCGGTCCGTCGTGGTAAAGAAAGAGCTGAGTCGAAAGGAAAAGCTCTCGATTTACCGGTCAATCTACATTCCTACTCTCACTTATGGTCATGAGATTTGGGTCATGAGCAAAAGGACAAGATATTGGATACAATTGGTCGAAATGAGTTTCCTTAGCAGAGTGGCAGGGCGCACCCTTACGCCTCATTCACACGGGGCGTCAGCATCAACGCTTCCCATTCACTTTAAATGGGTGACGTCAGGCATTGCCGAACTGCATTGTGGATTCATCAGCGCTGCTTCAGAGGAGTTGCTCGCTGCAGAAGTTGGGAATAGCTCAATCAGATCGCTGTATGCAAATACACCAGCTAGACAGTGGCCTAAATCTGACTGAATTTTAATGGCTGACTCTTCTATGACGATCGTTTTAGCTCCAACTTCAGACATGCCTTTAGTCAATCATTGACGCTGAAGCCCCGTGTGAATGGGGCGTTATAGATAGGGTGAGGAGCTCTGACACTCGGGAGGAGCTCAGAGTATAGCCGTTGCTCCTCCACATTGAGAGAAGTCAGCTGAGGTGGCTCTGACATCTGTTTCGAATGCCTCCGGGACACCTACCTAGGGAGGTGTTCCAGGCATGTCCCACCAGGAGGAGGCCTCGGGGAAGACTTAGGACATGCTGGAGGGACTATGTCTCTCAACTGGCCTGGGAACACCTCGGGATCCCCCTAAGGAGCTGGAGGAAGTGTCTGGGGAGAGGGAAGTCTGGGGTTCTCTCCTAAGACTGCTGTCCCCGTGGCCCAGCCCCGGAAAAGCGGTAGAAAATTAATGAATGAATAAATAAAGGAATGAATGAATTACCTGAATTTTACCTCTGAATACTGGACCGACACAGTATCAATTTACTATAACTTCTATGTTAAGCTGCTTTGACACAATCTACATTGTAAAACGCTACAGAAAAAAAACATGAATTGAATTGAAATTTAAATGAAATTAAGCGCATCTTTCATTTTTATGAGAAAGTGAAACATATCTCTCATTCAGTTTTCACTGTGGAATAGAATATTTGTACCACAACTTTATTATCTAAAATTAGTTTTTTAAGTTATTTTAATTTTAAGTTATTTTAAAGTCCAATATATATATATATATATATATATATATATATATATATATATATATATATATATATATATATATATATATATATATATATATATATATATATATATATATATATTTGTCCCAAAAATAAACAGTGTACAACTTTATTTTCTGAAAATATTTTTCACCAACAAGGCTTGAATGTTGAGTACACAAAGGTGGAGCATGTCAAAAGTGAGCAATTCACGGCTTCACTTTGTTTCTGTACATAACCTAAAGGCATCATTTGCATGTACATGCACTGAGTGTTACTAATTTCAGTCTTGTCATTCACACTGCCACTAAAATTATTATTTTTTAATCCAAAATGACCCTTTTTATGCTCATGCACACCTGTAAAACCTTACATACAGCTGCCACTAAAACTTTAGATTTTAGTATAAATGTTTTATGTGCTTCTTTCACATAAAACAAAACTGATTGTGAACTTCATACACAGTAAGTTGGGAAAGAGATGGAAGGGGGCTCCTTTACAACAGAAACGCTCTCAAGTTTGGGAGGTGTTCAAGAGAAAATGTTGTTTCAAAGGCCCCACCCAAAAGTGATTAGAAACCTCCCCCCCCCCCCCCCCCCCATTTCCAACCCTCTCCTCAAACCTTCTACACAAGCACAGCTCTGATCAACAGGTCACGGCTGAAAGTGAAGGACGAGAGAAGACGTAAGAAACAAGGACTGACTGCTTGCAGTTTTAAAACCACAGCAGTCATGTCTCCTGTTTGGCTTGGACAAATACTTTTGGTCTTGCTGATGTTCAGGATTGTGGTAAGTGACAGAACCAATTGGTGTTAGGGCATCAAATATATTGCATATTCCGCCATATTGTGTTTGTTCTAAATTATATTTTTACAGGTAATGATGACTAAGCACTATTTATTAATAACATACTATAACTTCACATATTTGCTACAGTTGGTCAAACTAACTCTTAAAACTTAAAATGTTTTTAATAAATAATAATTATAAAAATAAAAAGCTTTTATATGTAACATTTTGTAGTGTTAAATTTATAGACTTGTTCAGATCAGTTCTGAAAAGACAATTAAATGTTAAGCACAAGCAATTAAAAGCATAGTGCGTATGAAAATGAGTGTCATAGTCCTTAATTGGTAAGGCCTAATGTCATCTTAATCCTTGGCAGGGAGACGTACTGTAGACGAGCTATCATAGCTGATATGAAAAGTGCCTGTGGGTAGCATAGTCTCAAGTTAAAACCTGCAGGTTCTTACTGCAGACATGTAGATAGAGGCACCTCTGTGTATGTGGAACAACATGTTCTAGTTTAGTTTACTGTAAAACAGAAGGATTTAGTTACTTTATAGGCATTCAGATCACGTCACATTTAAGGATGTTTTTTTTTTTTTCAATTAATGTATATTCACTTCTGTGTACAAATACTACTGGCATGTCTTGTGTGCTGTAATGCTCAAAAATAATTTCCAAAAGTATTTACAAACACAGAGAGAAAGTGTAAAAGGGTAATGTTCACATGGTATGCACTAGTGCTGCAATAAATCATTATTGTATGCATTTATGCACATAAATAAATAGTATTTTGATCTATTTTTCTTAACCCTCAACAGAGGCCAAACATAAACTGTTTACAGTGTAGATAGAATTGGCGTGACTTGTCATGAAGGTCACTAAAACGGCACCTAATAATGCAGTTATTCCATATTACCTTTGTTTTTATGGCTACACACTTTAGACCACCTCCAAACACTTGTACATTTTGATTATCTCCTTAAATCAAAGATAAGTGATTAACCTCATTAGGCTCCAGGATCTGAAATGGCAGTGTCTGACAAAAGTAATTGTAGGGGTGTTTTTTTTTAGTATATTTAAGTATTTCTATTTTAGTATATATATGTTAAACTACATAAATATACATAATATAACATAAATATATTACTAATTATGTGGCTGAAATTGCATTGAAGGAAAATGTTTAATCAGGTTAAACTTGGCATTGATATCTATGTTGTACTATTTGAGCTACAAGAAGTCTTTCCACATTAGGGCTGGGCAATTTGGTTGATTTATTTCGATTAATTGAACATTGTAACTCAATTGCAATTAATGAACGATTATTTTATTTATTTATTTATTTATTTATTTATTTATTTATTTATTTATTTATTGCCTTCACAGTTCACCAACAAATTGTGTACAGTAAATATGCTCACATTATTCAAGTGAGAGATTTTTGAATGAAGGGTGCATTACTTGATTTTAAAATGACTGAAGAAAACATACACTATCTACTATCTTTGATTGTTTATTGAATATCAAATTTGAACAACTGAAAATAAAACTCACAGTGTCTAAAACAATCAGTGACTGTTTTATTATAAAAAGTACAAATAAATAACTTGTAAAATTTTGATCGATTATTGGTTCTAAATGTCAATTTTGATTACTTTTTGATTAATCGCCCAGCCCTATCCCTCATAAAAAAATTGATATGTGGTAATATAAGGAAATTATTTATGCAGTATGTCAAACATGTTCGTATTTGGATTTTACATATAAAATATATCATTAACGCAATATTTATTTCTAAGTGTTGCAAAAAAATGCACACTTTCACTTATATGAAACACTCCAATATAATAGCTATAATTTTTTAAGTGTTCATAAATAGCCACACACACACTAATAATATAATAATATGTGTACTTTATAAATGTAAAATTTAAACATAAACCTGTCATATATGTAATTTGCATACATCAATTCATTTCAGATTTCTATATTGGTTGTTTGTTTTGTTCATTTTATCTTAAGTAGTTTCTCGTAATAGCCCAAAGAACATATAAAATAAATGATTGTGGGGTAGATATGATAGAATGAATAACTGATCATGTTTTTCAATGTCAATGCTAAACGTTGTAAATGTATAAAAAATATATATAAATTTTTTTGTTTTTTTTTAGGGATCAAAAGCCAACATCAGATCTCATCGGAAGAAGCGAGAGTGGATTCTTCCACCAACAAGACTTTATGAGAATGTAGACTACACAAAAGAGGAATATGTGGCAAAAGTAAGCATAAGTATTTTATGTGCGACTGAACACCTGCTGCCTGGTTTTTGTCACTTTGTTGGTATGTTCCCACAAGCAATGCCGGTCATTTTAGACTTTGTAGGAACATTCTTTTGGATTCCATCAGGAAAACGCCACATAAATCATGCTGAATTATTTTATATTTTTTAAATGTTTTCTGTGAGGGTCCGGATTAGGGCTAGACTTGAGCTAAGAGGACAGAATTATATTGTCCGAAGAAGAAAAAAATCTTCTATTAGAAGTCCCCATAAAACATGAAAACTCAGCATGTATGTCTGGGTCGGTGTTTGCTGGATGTTGGCCTCACTAAAAAGCATATTTTGCATATGGGTGGCCCTGATAGTCTTTCCTTGTTTGTGCAATCATCTGAAAAACACGAGATCTGGACGCACTGGTTCTTCTATAAGCTGCATATTTCACCTGTTTCATAAATTCATCCTATATGCAGCTCCATATCTGAGACTCAGCAAAAACCAAAGCTGTTAGCATTTATATTTGAATTAGAGCAAGTTTTATTATTTAATCCTTACTTTGTGTGTGTGTGTGTGTGTGTGTGTGTGTGTGTGTGTGTGTGTGTGTGTGTGTGTGTGTGCGTGCGTGCGTGCGTGCGTGCGTGCGTGCGTGCGTGCGTGCGTATGTATGTATATATATATATATATATATATATATATATATATATATATATATATATATATATATATATATATATATATATATATATATTCATTCATTCATTCATTCATTCTCTTGTTGGCTTAGTCCCTTTATTAATCCGGGGTCGCTACAGCGGAATGAACTGCCAACTTATCCAGCAAGTTTTTACGCAGCGGATGCCCTTCCAGCCGCAATCTATCTCTGGGAAACATTCACACACACACTCATACACTACAGACAAATTAGCCTACCCAATTCCCAATTTACCTGTACTGCATGTCTTTGGACTGCGGTGGAAACCCACACGAAGGCAGGGAGAACATGCAAACTCCACACAGAAACGCCAACTAAGCCGAGGTTCGAACCAGCGACTCAGCGACCTTCTTGCTGTAAGACGACAGCACTACCTACTGCCACACTATATGGTTGAAGTCAGAATTATTAGCCCCGCTTTGAATGAAATCAAATGATGTTTAACAGAGCAAGGACATTTTTACAGCATGTATAATAATATTTTTTTCTTCTGGAGAAAATCTTATTTGTTTTATTTCGGCTAGAATAAAAGTAGTTTTTACAAAGCCATTTTAAGGTCAAAATTATTAGCCCTTTTAAGCTATATATTTTTCCGATAGTCTACAGAACAAACCATCTTTATTCAATAGGTTGCCTAATTACCCTTATCTACCTAGTTAAACTAATTAACCTAGTTAAGCCTTTAAATATTAGTTTAGCTGCATAGAAGTGTCTTGAATTATTTACTGTAATTATGGCAAAGATATAAGAAATCATTTATTAGAAATGAGTTATCAAAACTATTATGTTTAGAAATGTATTAAAAAATCTTCACTTCATTAAACAGAAAATTGGGAAAAAATAAATGGTTCTAATAATTCAGGGGGACTAATAATTCTGACTTCAACTGTATATAAATATAAGCTTCTTTAACAAACTGAGAATAGAAATCGATGAAAGGGTAATGGAAATTGTTACTTACCTTATACGTTGTCTTGAAATTGAATCGCGGTTTAGTAAATTCCACATATAAGCCTTCAGGCCATTGGGTTTTCACTCGAGGAACATAAACTTCATGTGAGGCGAAAATTTACTCTAATTTTTAAGAATATACAATTCCATACACCGGTAAGTAATTTAGCTAACTGCAACGAGCCATTGTTCAATATATTTTAACTCTCGAATTTGTCAAGATTTACCAGCGTGGATGACTGAGAATGATGCACAACGCATGGAGATTCTGCCTGCGAAATTAGCTTTAAAATAGGACGCTTTGAGGGTCATTCTACATTAACGTACATTCTTCTGTTTTTTAGACTTAACAGCATATTACACATAAAAAAATCTTCAGGTTTAGCTACATTGACATTTAGCTACAATAAATACATTTTCTATTTATTTTAAAACGAAACAGAGTTTGAACAATTAGCCTACTCTCTTTTTTCTTGGTGGGGGGGGGGGGGGGGTCATAAATGTGACAATGATTGTTTTAACACCATAAAAGGTGTTTTTGAGGTCAAAACTATCATTCTACCATTAAAAATGTAACAGTGAAATATGGTATATGATGTAAATTACATAAAAAACTAATAGAAAAAAATGATTAAAATAAATTAATCATAATGGCCTAGTTGTTGATAATTGTTTTTCTGTATCTATGCTAAATATGCTGAAATAAAGTATAATTGGACAAAAAAAAAAAAAAAAAAAAAGTTGGTAACACCAGTGACAAAAAATGGTTCATGCGATCTTTAGGCTCATTAAAATCATTGTGCTGTCATGTGTTTTCATAAATTCAATTGGTAATTGATTAACGTAGTCTAAGTTTAAATGTTAAATAAAGAAATAGATTTTTAGTACTTTTCCTAAACAAAAAGTGCATGTTTTCATGTTTTTTTCTTGTAATATTGTCTTGCTCTTTTCTAGATTCGCTCTGATAAAGATATTAACTGGCAGGTGGTGGAATATGGATTAACAGGTCATGGTGCCAACAAGCTACCCTATAATTTGTTTGTTATCAATCCTGAGAATGGTTATGTCAAAGTCACAGGTCTGCTAGACAGAGAAAAAACATCTTCATACAACGTGAGTTGTGTCCCGTGTTTGGGATAGTCAAAGCTACCGAAATGACAATTGACTGAAAAAATTAATTACTGAGAAACATTTTTCTTTTGTGCAGCTGACTGGCATTGCTAAATATCGTAACGGATCAATAGCTGAAGAAAACATTATGCTTAAGATTAAAGTTGAGGATCAGAATGATAACTTTCCGATATTCAGAGAGCAAAGTGGATCTGTGAAAGAAAGCAGCAAGATTGGTGGGTTCATTTATTTATTATTTTTCTGCTCTCTGAATTATGACAGATTCTCCACCACATAATTAAAATAAAAAATAACTATTCTGACATGTAATTTGTCTAAATTGATATGAATATCTTGAAACTTACAAATGAATATATTGAAGTTGAAACTTATGTCTGTGTTTCCATGTCATGTTATTTTTTGAGCTTTAAGTTTTTTTTTTTTTTTTTTGAGTTTAGCATCTGTCAATTCTGTTTTTGAAATTGAATGAATATATCAGCGCTTTAAGTTTATATCACAATTAATACTTTTATTCATATTTTTTGTATAAAATTGATTTATTATTTGATTTATATCTGGAAAAAGTCAGAAATGCAGATTAGAAAAGTCGAAATTCTTATGTACGAGTTCGAAGTTAAGGATTGTGAGATATAAAGGGAAATTTTAGGTTGGGGAAACAACCATTCTCCATTAACAGATGATACTAATTAATATGCGGTAAATTTGCATAAAATTAAAAAAAGTATATATATTTTAATAGATAACAGCAAGCAGCTGCATATTATCTCAACATTATTATGAAATTACAGGAACACCTGTTATGCAGATAAGAGCTACTGATGCAGACGAGGAGGGCACAATCAATTCCAAAATAGCATACAGTATAATAAAACAATCCCCTGCAGAATCAGGAAATATGTTCTCCATCGATAGAGCAACTGGGAATGTCTATGTGAAGGAGAAAATCCTGGATCGAGAGGTAACATTAAACGGATAAAAATATCCCATGATATTTGCAGGTTCATGTAAAATGCAACATGATAGTTTAAATTCAGGTTTCTGGACATTTTTTTTACAGAGACATGATAAATATACTTTAATAGTTCAGGGAGTTGATATGGACGGACATCCATCTGGCAACACAGGAACAGGCACAGTGCATATTAATATTCTGGACATAAATGACAATGTTCCCACTCTTGAGAAAGAAGAGGTAAGAACTAACAAATGGAAGTTGTTGCATTTTTAAGGTTTTGTATTTAATAGCTTTTGTTTTTCCTCTATTAGTATTCAGGCAGTGTTGATGAAGGTGTGGTTGATGTGGTTGTCATGAGAATTAAAGCCCAGGACAAAGATCTGAAATTCACTGATAACTGGCTGGCAGTGTTTGACATTCTGAAAGGAAATGAAGACAATCTCTTCTCCATTGAAACAGACCCTAAAACCAACGAGGGAATTCTAAAACTCATCAAGGTAAATGTTTTGTTTAATAAAAATACAGTCTTTTATATAATAACACTTGTTCAGGGCTCAATACAGTCATTTGTCCTATAAATTTTTGCTTTTTTTTAATGCGTAAGCTTGTAAAATGTATGATGATTTACAGTATGTGATATTTAAAAAAGGATACTTCGAGTAAGTAATAAATACTTTAAAAAACATAAACCAATACGAACTCAATATACAGTGAATCATAACTGAGTACATCACACTTTGAAAATTAATATTTGTATCCATTTCTCAATGAATATAGGCAATGCGTTTTGATTTGTGACGGGTATACTTATATATGCTGAGTACTGTATGTGTGTATACGGAGTTTAAGTCAGAATCATTAGCCTCCCTAATTTATTAACCCCCCTGTTTATTTAATTACTTTTTTATTCAATAGTTGGTTCTGTAGACTATTAGGGAAAAAATTAAAGGGGCTATTAGTTTTGTCCTTAAAATGTTTTATTAAAAATTAAAAACTGCTTATATAGCTGAAATAAAACAAATAAGGCTAATAATTCTGACTTTAACTTCAAATATATACACATACATTATACTTAGCATATATAAGTACACCCCTTAAAAAATGTCTGACTGTCCACAGAACAAACCATCATTATACAATAACTTGCCTAATTACTCTAATCTGCCAGGTTAAACTAATTAACCTAGTTAAGCCTTTAAATGTCACTTTAGCTGTACAGAAGTGTCTTGAAAATTATCTAGTCAAATATTATTTACTGTCATCATGACAAAGATAAAATAAAACAGTTATTAGAAATGAGTTATTAAAACTATTATGTTTAGAAATGTGTTAAAATAATCTCTCTGTTAAACAGAAATAAACGGGGCTAATAATTCAAGGGGGCTAATAATTCTGACTTCAACTGTGTGTGTATGTGTGTGTGTGTGTGTGTGTGTGTGTGTGTGTGTGTGTGTGTGTGTGTGTGTGTGTGTGTGTGTGTGTGTGTGTGTGTGTGTGTGTGTGTGTGTTTAAAATATTACATAAATAGGCAGAGAGAAAATATATCATTTAAAACAGTAACACTTTACAATGTGTCATTTGTTAGCATTAGCTAACTCTGCATGAAAAATACACCTAAAGCATTCATTATAGCTAAAATGAACAAATATGCCTTTTAATTTGGATAATGTAGTAATGTAATAGAACATGGTTGTATTGTTATTAACAACTATTAGGAGAGATTACAGCAAATTGATCATTGTTAGTTTATTTTAGTAAATGCTATGACTAATGTTAACTAACAGCCCTTAAAGTGTCCAATTATTTTCAGTTATGAATTTTTTTTAAAACAAAGGTTATAAACATTCTCACATGTTTAAATTTATTCAAGTAGTAAGACAAGGCTGTTATCAACTTTTACACTACATGCCTACTGTTAAAAGTGCAGTATATTAAAGTGATAGTTCATCCCATTGTTCATCATTTATTCTTCTTCATATGGTTTTAAATCTTTATGAGTTTCTTTCTTTGTTAAACACAAAATAAGATATATGGAAGTAAGCTGGTTGATGGGACCCATTGACTTCCATAATAGGGGAAAATAATACTATGGAAGTCAGTGGGTACCAGCTGCCACCATTTTTTTTAAAATAGCTGCTTTTGTGTTCAACAGAAGAAAAAAACTCAAACAGGTTTGTGAAAAATGAGGGGTGAGTAAATCTTGACAGATTTTTTCGTTTTGAGTAAGCTATTTAATATGTGTGTGTGTGTTTCATTTTATGTTAAAGAGCCTGAGGCAATTTTGGAATTTCCTGTTACTGTTTAAATACTTAAAATTATACAATCTGATTTATACCCGTTTTATCTTTTTCCCCATGCCTGTCTACTTTCCTGAAGCCTGTTGATTTTGAAAAGGTCAAAGAGCTGGACCTCAATTTGGTTATATCAAATGTAGCTCCTTTTATAAACGGAAGTGCTTTAGAGCTGGACGTCAATCTGGACAAGGGTGGAGCAGGTGCCGGAGCAGGGGCTGGGGTGGGAGCCGGTTTGGGAGTTGGATTAGGAGTAGGGTTAGGTTTAGGGTTAGATGCTGGACTGGATGCTGGGCCGAATGCTGGACTTGGTGCAGGATTGGATTTAGGTGCTGGACTAGATGCAGGACTAGATGCTGAACTGGATGCTGGACTAGATGCTGGACTAGATGCTGGATTAGATGCTGGACTGGATGCTGGAGTGGATTTGGGTGCCGGAATGGATGCAGGTGGAGATGTTGGGCTTAAGCCTGGAGTTAATCCTGGAGCCAAGCCTGGTCCTTCACTTGGTGTCAAGCCAGGGCCAAAACCAGGGCCAAAACCAGGAACAAAACCTGGAACTAGTCCTTCTGGCAAACCTGTAAGCGATCCTGATAAAAAACCAGCTGGGAAAGGTTACCCGGTTAAGATCAGTGTAAACAACCTACCTGACGGGCCTGGCTTCTCACCTTCTGTGAAAGACTTCCCAGTGTCAGAGGATCCAAATGAAGATTTCCCTGTGGTGTTGGGCACCTTTGCTGCTTTAGATGGAGACACTGGAGAACCAGCTGAAAATGTGAGGTAAGCATTGAACCAAGGTAAAGATCATATCAGTAGTATACTACTGCTAGTTGTATACATTATTATGTTGGCTTGAGAAAGCCAACAGACTGTTATATTACATAAACCTCTTCTTCTTCATTTGTCTTCTTCTTCCTCTTTTTCTTAGACTATTTTAAGAACGCATCTCCTCTTAGAGTGTTCATACTACAACCACCAAACTCCAGACCCCTAAACTAATTAAGTAGCAATATCTTTTTTTAACTTATCCGACTTATGATTTTCCAAAAACTGACCAGGAAAATTCTGAAAAGTCCCATTGACTTAACATTGGAACAAAAATTTGTGCCCTCGTAACTTTGTGCCAGATTGTCATACAGACTTAAGGTTGGGCTTATTTAACTCAGACTACCAATCTGCCAATCACTGATAACCTTTCAACTTACTAGCCACACCCTAGCAACCACTTACGGCACCCTAGCAACTGTATAGACTTCCATTATAAAAAACTGCCATTGACTTTACATTGGACATACTAACAACATACCAAATCATGCTAACAATATACTAATTATTCTAGAAACATACTAATCATACTAGCAATATGCTAGTTCATACTATAAAAATACTAGCAACATGCTAATTCATATTAGAACTATGCTAATTTATGTTAGCAACTGCCTAGCAACTACTCAGAACACCTTAGCAACGACCTAGAACACCTTAGTAACTGCCTAGCAACACTTTAACAAAACATAGCAACCACCTAGCAACGCCTTAGCAACCGCCTAGCAACCAATCAGAACACCCGAGCAACCACCTAGCAAAACCATAGCAACACTCAGAACACCCTAGAAACCATCTAACAACAACTTAGAAACAACCTAGAACACCCTAGCAACCACCTAACAACTAATCAGAACACCATAGCAACCGTCCAGCAACACCTTAGCAACAGCCTAGCGACACCTTAGCAACCACCTAGCAAACAATCAGAACACCATAGCAACCACATAGCAACAATCAAGCAACACTTTAACAACGTCCTAACAACACCTTAGTAACCACCTACCAACAACTTAGCAACTGAATAGCAACCACTCAGTACACCCTAGCAACCACCTAGCAACACCTTAGTAACCAAATAGCAACCACCCAGAACACTATAGCACCACCTTAGCAATCACCTAGTAACCATTCAGGACACCCTAGCAACCACCTATCAACATCTTAGCAATCACGTAAAACACCGTCGCAATGCCTTAGCAACTACTTAGAACACCCTAGCAACCGCAAAGAAACAACTTGCAACCTCCTAGCAACACCTTAGCAACCACCCAGAACACCATAGAAACATCTTAGCAACTGCCTAGCAACTACTCAAAATACCCTTGCAACCACCTATTAACATCTTAACAACTACATAAAACATCCTAGCAACACCTTAGCAACTACTCAGAACACCCTAGCAACTGCATAACAACAACTTGCAACCCCCTAACATTACCTTAGTAACCGACTAGCAACCATTCAGAACACCATAGCAACCACCTAGCAACACCTTAACAACCAGTCAAAACACCCTAGCAACCCCTTAGAAACTGCCTGTCAACATCTTAGCAACCACCTAACAACACCTTAGCAACGTCCTAGCAACACCTTAGCAACCACCTAGCAACACCTTAGCAACTGCCAAGCAAACACTCAGAACACCCAAGCAACCACCTAGTAACATCTTAGCAACTGCCTAGCAAACACTCAGAACACTCTAGCATCCGCCTAGCAAACACTCAGAACACTCTAGCATCCGCCTAGCAAACACTCAGAACACTCTAGCATCCGCCTAGCAAACACTCAGAACACTCTAGCATCCGCCTAGCAACACCTTATTATGCCAATCCATACTAGAAACATGCTAACCTATATATAGTTTAACTGTTTCAGTCTTCTTAAAAACTACTTCAAGCTTTCAGACTGGGTTTTCTCAAGCCACCATAAAGTTTGTCTATGAACTGTACTTTTCTAGTTAGTTTTATTTTGCATTTTAAATATAGAAACATGTAGATTTAGTTTGTTTTTACCATTGATTTCTGTGATTGTTTTTTAATGATTTCATTATTACCATTTATGTACCCAAAAATCATTAGTCAGCTATAGTCATATCATTATTTTTGACCATTGATTAAATACTCAGGTATGCCAAAGGTCACGACCCCGATAACTGGATAACCATTGATGAGGAAACTGCTGAGATTAAGCTGACAAAGGCTCCAGACAGAGAATCAAAGTTTTTGGTCAATGGAACCTACTTTGCAAAGATTATCTGCATGACTCAAGGCAAGCATCATCATTTTTCATTGGTTTCATTCATCACTGAAATTAATTCAATCTGTCAGGGAGCAAAATTTGGACATTTAAAAGAGAAAGAGAAAACCTAGATGCATAAATCTTTCAAAAATGTCTTTTTAAAATAACGAATGTGTGGTAAATATGTTGGTAAGAATGTTAATATTCTCCTTTAAATATTTATTATTTATTGAAACTTTTGTCGCTGCAATATTATTTCAGTAAAAAAAAAAAAGCTAATAGAGCCAACCAGTGATGCTGTACTTATCAAACAGTCAGTCACTGCATTTCTGAGAGTAAAAGTAATAAATAATAAAGTTTCAAAGTAAATGTTTCGTAGAATAATTACTTAAAGAGGACCTAACAATCATTTAAACAGGACCTATTTTTACAACATGTAAAAGTCTCTGATGTCCCTAGAGTGTGTAGGTGAAGATTCAGCTTAAAATACTCCACTATTAATGTTTTATAACTCTTAGAAACTCTCCCTTTTAGGCTTCAATAGTATCTGGATTCAGCCTTTGTGATGCAAGCTGAGATTGCATCACTTAGGGATGCAACGTCAGACACAATGCACTCAGGTAGGGTTAGGGGTGGGGTTAGGTGAGCGCATTAAAAAGCATTGGATGCAGCACAGATTGCACTGCACCAGGTCTGTATCCAGATCCCTCTCTTAGGCTTTGATCCCAATTGTGCCATTTTGATGACCGTTGCTTTAAATTCAAATGAGATTGTGCTGTCAGGCATCTTCAAAAAAGGAGGAGCTAAAAATACCTAGGTGTCAGCAAAGTGGCAGATTCAAAAACAAGACTAACCTATGCTAATGAGGGAAAGATCATCACAATTGGGCCGGGCTTTCCACCTCTGATGACATGTACAAAAGGAGAATGGCCGGCAGCTAGCTCTCTGCAACTCTCACATGGTCGCCCACTGAAGCTAAGCAGGGCTGCGCCCGGTCAGTACCTGGATGGGAGACCACATGGGAAAGCTAGGTTGCTGCCGGAAGTGGTGTTAGTGAGGCCAGCAGGGGGCGCCCAACCTGCGGTCTGTGTAGGTCCATCCAGGCCAAATCTGCCCACTGGCCTTTGTCCATCATGGCCTCCTAACCATCCCCATATTCCAATTGGCTTCATCGCTGTCTCCTCTCCACCAATCAGCTGGTGTGTGGTGTGCGGTCTGGTGCAAAATGGCTGCCGTCGCGTCATCCAGGTGGATGCTGCACACTGGTGGTGGATGAGGAGATTTCCCCCATTGTGTGTAAAGCGCTTTGAGTGCCCAGAAAATATATAAATATATATAATGTAAGGAATTATTATTATTATTATTAATTATCAAAGTGTTTCTGCAGACTGTTCTGATCAAGTGTAATTAAAAAAATAGAATGAATGAATTTTCATGATTAGAAACTGGTTATATTCAGAGACTGTTGCCACACAGCTGTGTTTAAATCCCTTTAAAAGTGATTATAATATTAATAGGTGCCTTTTAAGATATTCACTTTCGTATTAAAATGCACAAACAACAAGGCCTTATCGCATTGACTAAGTTGGAAAGTTTCCTTAATTAATACCTACATATTTTCTTTCACATTTTAGATGTGCCAGCTAAAACCGCTACCGGCACAATAGCATTAAAGGTGGAGGATACCAATGACCACTGCCCCACACTGACCAGCTGCTATCATCAAACTTGTGATAACAATAAAGTGGTAAATGTCACAGCTTTCGATGAGGACGCCGATCCAAACGCCACACCTTTCCAATTTGCTCTGATAGAAGAGGAGAGTGTCGGAAAATGGCAGATGGTGCCAATAAACGGTACAGATAAAGAAGGTTTATTGTCTTAAAACCACACAAACTCCAATAGAATTGATAGGACTTCTGTTCTTTTGTCTTATTCACAGGAACCACAGTGAGTTTTCATACACAGGAGACTTTGTGGCCTGGCATTTATGAGCTGACAGTGAAGATCACGGATGCTCAAGGTTTGGCTTGTCCAGACAACCAAAAGTTTGAGGTTGAGGTGTGCAGCTGTGAGGAAAAAAGCTCATGCGGGCCGAGGCTTGCTGCACAGCGCAGCGTCCCACTCAAAATAGGAAAGCCAGCTCTCGGCTTGTTCCTCAGCGGCGCAGCTCTACTCTTGCGTGAGTTATCCAATCACCCAAAACATTTAAACAGGCTGTCCCAGGATTAAGATTATCATACATACTTTGTGTTCTTTGCATTTTTAGTGGTACCGTTCCTTCTGCTCTTCTGCCAGTGTGGGACCGTGAATGAGTTCACAGATTTGCCATTTGACGCTAAAGAATATCTTATTCCATATCACACTGAAGGCATAGGGGAGGACAAGGTAAAAAAAAAAAAAAGTAAATAATTATAACCTGATTGGACTGGACACTGACTTTAAACAAGGGTGTCCAGTACTGTTCATGAAAGGCCAACACCCTACATATTTTTGCCAAACCAGTTTGACTAGAAGTTTCAGGGTCATATTTTATTGCAAAGGGCTCATTTCTATGATTTAGTCCATTCAAAGGGTTAACCCTTTAGTGTGAGAACTTCAAAGTAATAGAGGAACCAAAAAAAAAAAAAAATAGCTCTGCACAAAGAATTATGAGAGCAAGTTTTTTTTGCAGGTGCAAATTTGTTTTATAACTGGAGTTAACTTGTTAACAAAGGTTTGGCAGTGGAACCAAGCCTCTCTTCCTCTCCTTAACCAATCACCTACTCCCTAAAACGTATTTAAGGCAGACTAGCCCTCTAGCACTGTTCTTCTCATTCTCTTGAACCCACCCTCCCTCCCTCATTTTTCTTGCTTTCCATTAACAATCCTTTTAACCCTCTCTTCCCTCCGAGGTTAAATCGGGGGGTCCAGTCACTCTACCAAAATGTTACAAAGACTGGGCATCATCAAAGGACGCCCGATCAACCTACCTACCTGTTCACTGTTTATCTTCTTACATTCCTTCCCCTTCATCCCACTGTTCTCTCACCATCTTTTTGATTCCTACATTTCTACAATGAAGTGTAGCTCAAAGTGTGACATGGTCCATGTCATTTTAAAATAAAAAAATAAAAAAATGTTTTGGCTCTTAATTTACTAGTGGTTTGGTGGATCACAAAATGGTTCAGATTTCTTTCATAGTTTTTGATTTGGACAATTTGGATGATTTTTTTTTTTTTATCAGAAAAAAAAGGCAAATACAGTTTACTTACCCTTTACAATGGGAACACTCTCATTTATCAAATATAACCTATACTGCATTCTTAACCCTCTACCGCATGATGTTGCCAAATGCCAACATGATATTTGTGTTTATTTCCCTGCCACTGTTTTTTTAAGACCAACATTCACATTTTTTGTTGGAAAAAGAAGACCTTAGTTTATCCAGTGATGTGCTTTGGTTGTCACATGACATGCAGTATTTTTCTGCAGCATGATTTCTGATAGACTGTCGTTCATTGTGAGTAGTTGCTGAATGCAAATGTGAACATTCATAAAAACAAAGGATCAAATTATGTCAGATCAACAAAACAATTTGGATAATTTTTTTAAACAGAAAAAAGGCAAACCCAGTTTGCTTACCATTTATTATGCGAATACTCATATTTTTCATAACCTGTTAATTTTTAATAAAAAATAGCATTATCTAACTTTATAGTGAGTTATATTACACATAATTTCCCTCAGTTGGTCTCATTTAATTAAAATTGTTTACATGAATAAAAACATAATGGAACAATACTCTGTGTATATCTGGCAATATCAGTCTTTGTGACACTATGTTTACATGGACACCAATAATGTAATTTTAATACGATTAAGACAATAGTCTGATTATAGGGTCTACCATGTACACAATTTTTGATTACCTTAATCTAAAGTCATACTTGAACTAAACAGAAATTGAATTAAGACATGTGGAGTATGTCGACTTTAATTGCATTATTGAAGTGCAGTATAGACATGTAATTAAACTATTACCATCGTGTTGGATTTTTGCCGCATTTTCAACAGGGTAGTCTGTGTATACACGGCTGTTTGACACTATTCTCTGCACCTATTGTGTCAGTGAAGAACCACATACACCTGCATCATAAAATGTGGAAGGTTTTTTCCATTTGGCATGCAGTATCAAATTCCTTTAAAGCAACACTCTTCCAGCAGTTCATACTTGCATTCAATATCTTAATTGTCATAAGGAACATACATGAAATGTTCCATAATGAAATTGAAAGTGACAAACTGCAGTTAAAGTCAACAAATTAAAAATGAAACACCTGAAATTACACAAAACTCAGGAGATAACTTGGATAGCTTAGTGATGCAACTGCGTTAATTGAATTTATGTGTTATAACATGTAAAACAGGATCATGAAACTCATGTAAACATCCTAATCATGTTATTCTCTTAATCAGATTAAGGCAAATAATTTGATTACTAATGTCCATGTAAACGTAATCACTGATGAGCATTGTTAAGTAGATAAGGCTGAACAGCCTAGAAAAGGTAACCTTTAAATCTTTTTGAGTTTAAAAGAGGTGAGGGGAAATGTTTGGAATGCACACTAGTGAGAGTGAAGAGCTTGATTAGCTGGTTTAGGTATGTTTAATTATGGTTGAACTACACTGTGTAGGTCAGTAGGAATGGTTTAAACACGCCGGTTTTATAATGTAAAATTTTGTTTTTCGTCCTACAGGAGATTCCTGCTCTCAGTGGTCTTGCTGCTACAATAGACCAAAAGCAGCTGCTTCAGGTTTCCAACACTGTATCCAAAATGCACTTTCAAACAAGTGTTGCTAATGACTCCAGAATGCTCAACCAGGACATAAACAATGATGGGTTAACAGAATCTGATGGCCGGATTTGGTACAGAGAAAACACAATTTCAACGGCCAACCACCGCAACAGTGCTCTCTATTCTGCATCATTCATTCAAGAAAAGCAAGACATTTATGGGGACATGGCATTAGGAGATGTCTTTCTGAATGAATACTTCTCTCAGGTATGGAATTAATTATATAGCAGCTTATTCATATTTAAGTTAATTCATAATTAAAATAGGGCGTCACGGTGGTGCAGTAGGTAGCACAATCACAGAATGAAAGACGCTGGTTCGAGCCTCAGCTGGGTCAGTTGGCTTTTCTGTGTGAAGTTTACATGTTCTCCAGGTGCTCCGTTTTCCGCCATAGTCCAAAGACATGTGCTATAGGTCAATTGCGTAAGCTTAAAGGGGTGGTCCACTATGATTTCATATTTTAAATTTTAGTTGATGTGTAATGTAGCTGTGTGAACATAAACAACATCTCTGAATGTAAAAATTTCTAAGTTCAATGCAAAGGGAGACCTTGGGTTTTTTACATAGTTAGCTTAACCAAGCCTACAATGAACGAATTTTGGGAACTACAAAAAATACTTCCGCCCCCTGTGAGATCAAAAAAGTTTGTTACTGCGCATCCAAACTGAGCAGGTAAGGCCCGTGGCCAGAGGCGCTATAACGTTATAGCAGAGATGAAGCTAAAAATGCGTCTAAACGCTGCTATTTCCACAGAGCTTCGTCTGTTTTTGTATTTAGGCTTCCAGAGGACACGACACAAACACAGAAGTGCTTACAGTTCAATATTAATTATGTTCCAGTGAATTATAAAATACATAGCAAGCATGATTTGACAAAACAGCTCCAGAATCTCTCCCAGTTCAGTGCTGGATTGGGCTAAAATCTCCTCAAAGCAGAAGGAGGTACAACCAGTAAGTGTTTTATTAGTTAAAATTGATCATGACATGTACAGTGTCTAGCGTTAACGGTATGCTGTAGCATCGATGTAAACAATGGGTAATGCTGCTTTGCGTGCAAACGATTTAGCTAAAAACTCATATTTATCAGTCAAACTGCTGTTAACACACACACTCCACCAACACGTCCGTGTCTCATGTGTGTGCGCGCGCGCGACTGGCTGCACTGATTGTCTTCAGGCAGCTTTTCCATGCGTTACACATCTCAGATAATGAAGTCGCAAAAGATATGTGGATGATTCATATTACTTACACCTGCATATTCCGTATACATGTGAAAGCCGTCATGTTACGCGTTGAGTTAAAAAAAAATACAAAGCTAGCACCAGAAAAATAAATCCAGGCTCAAACAGGTAGCATCCCACATCTTGTGCTTTATTCTTCTGTCACAATATATTACAGAAAAATAACTTAATCTGAGCGTCAGAGAAAAAGAAAGTCCCACGCACGTGCGCTTGTTACAGAAAGTTTACACATTCACACACACACACACACACACACACACACACACACACACACACACACACACACACACACACAAACACACACACACACACACACACACATAGAAGCACATGCAAACGCTATTAAAGGAGCCGCACCCCATTTTCATTTGTTACAGAAACTTGTCAGATGTTATTTTAGAGCAGGCAGGAGGTTGACTGAGGTTTACACAGCAGAAAAGCGTGTGTTTTTACGGGCGTGACATGGAGCCGATTCGCCAAACGCAGCACATTATGACGATGACCAATCAGAGTCACTTAAGGGCGGGCCTTTCAGAGGAACTAGGAAATTTGACAGTCGTTTTAATGTTAGCTGAGTAGCTGTGTGTAATCAAAGTGAGATGTATGAAAAAATAACGCGATTTCCTTCAAGTGAAACATTGGCACAAATTGCTTTGCATCTTATAAACACAACCAAGCCTTAAAATTACATTGTGGACCACCCCTTTAAATTGTCCGTAGTGTATGTGCAATGAGTGCGTATGGATGTTTCCCAGTGATGGGTTGCAGCTGGAAGGGCATCTGCTGTGTAAAACATTTGCTGGATAAGTTGGCAGTTCATTCCACTGTGGTGACCCCAGATTCGATAAAGGGATAAAGTCAAAAAGAAAATGAATGAATGAATAATTGAAATATGTATAAAGTGGGGAGGCACGATGGCTCAGTGGTTAGCACTGTTGCTTTACACAGTAAGAAAGCTGCTGAATGGAGGTTTGCATGTTCTCCCTGTGTTCGCATGGGTTTCCTTCGGGTGCTCTGCTTTCCCCCACAATCCAAAGATATGTGCTATAGTTGAATTGAATAAATTAAATTGGCCGTAGTGTATGAGGGTGTGTATAAGTGTGTATGGGTGTTTCCCAGTACTGGATTGCTACTGGAAGGGAATCCACTGCATAAAACATATGGTAGAATAGTTGCCAGTTCATTCCGCTGTGGTGACTTCTAAAATAGAGACTAAGCCGAAGGAAAATGAATGAATGAATATGTTTAGAGTGAATAAGAAATGGCAATGTGAAGCTATAAATGACTTCAACCATTAACATTATCAAAGTAATCCATACGACTACACAATACTCCAATTAAGTCATCTTAAGTAATACGAATTCTTTTTGAGGAACAGACCTTTTTTTCTTGACATCTATTTTAAATAATTTTGGAACATTCATGAAAGAAGTCAAATCCTTCTTTCAAGAGTTCACGCTTAGCTGATGATTGATTATAAAGCTTAATTGGCATGCTGTCCCGGGAAAGAGCACTGAGCTCATAAGATCCTCGAGCCTGGGGCTCACTCCCGTTTGCAAGGCAAGAGGGGAGTTTGAGCTCAGGTAGATCCCGAGAACTGGTGACCGTCCCTCCGTGATCTCCCAGAAATATTAAAGTAGCTAATGAATAGATAGTGATTGGTCTTAAGAGATAACTACTTACTAGGAGCATGCATGGTGTCAATTTGTATTAGTCAATTAACTTAAGTTGCGTGTTTTTGGACTGAGGGAGGAAACCGGGGAACTCAGGGGAAACCTGCGTGTGCCCACAAGAGAATATGCAAACTCCACACAGAAATGTCGGCTGGCTTCATAAGGCCTAGAACCAGTGATGTTCTTGCTGCAAGGCAAAAGTACTAACCACCGTGCCACCGTGCCACCCATTTAGGACATGAGGAGGAGTATGGGTAGAAGGGGGGATTCTTTAAAACAAAGATGGCTGTCAGATGGAACTTAGGGTATTTACAGTGGCTTAGGAATTGTCTGATTGGTGAATTATTAATTGAATAATGCAGAACCAACTGCAAGCAATCATAAGCATGTGATCCTCTCGAAATTAGTTTATAAATAAACTTCACTTTGAGTCAGACTTTTAAATGATTTGGTGAACATGATCATATTCATACCTTACAGTTAATTACATTTTTACTGTAAAATGGTTATGTTTAGTTTAAGGGGAGGGTTAAAAGAACTCAAAAAAACATTTTTTAAACAAACTTTAAAAGTGGTTGTGCACAAATCATCATGATATAAATTATTTGTAAATGTTTTATATTTTTTTTAGCTCCAGATATGTAATGTTGGGTTTTAAATGTTTCAAATTGTACGTCTTAGATGCATTCCAAAATACTAACACCTACATATAATGGTGAGCCAAGCAAACCAGCTGATCCAGATGAAACCAGTCAGTTTTTCAAAACGAACTCACTAAATCAATGATTTGTTGTAAACATTTGACAGCCACACTGGCTCAAAGATCATCATAATGCAACGACTGTGTAAGAACAGTTTTAATATTTCTGGGAGATCACGGAGGGACGGTCACCAACTGTACCCAACTTAAATGTAAAATTAAAGTTACCAGAGGTAGAAGGAGAGACACGGAGGGAGGGAGAGAGAGACAAAGAGAGCAGGCCCAAAAGCCTGATTGCAGTAGAGTCAGAGAAGATAGACTACAGAGAAGGATAGGAGCAGAGCAGGAGAGAAGCAGGCCAGGAAAAGAGAGGGCAGGAAAAGAAAACAGAGCTTGAGTTTACCACCTATTTTGTATCTTTCTTGACCATGTGACTAAAGCCATTCAAGACATTCAAACTGACCAATCAACATGTGACCACACCATAAAACCCCCAAAGTCCACACAACAGGCCCTGATCTTATCAGTTTCTGCCTTTGTACTCAGGCCCCGTTTACACTAGTGCGTTTTAGTTTGAAAACGCATAAGTTTTGCTACGGTTACGCCATCCGTCCACACTACGCCGGAGTTCTCGAGCGCCGAAAACGGAGCTTTTTGAAAACACTGGAGAGGCCGTTTTCATTCTAAAACGCTGCTGCTCCGTCTCAGTGTGGATGGGGAAAGACGGAGACATCTGAAAACGGAGGCGGGGCTGCAAACGTTCGCCTATCTGATTGGGGCTTTTCCTCAATATTAAGTAGCCCACACACAGTTCAGTCTCGCATCCTCTTCTTGTAAGTTAAGATTTCGCAAGTTTGATTAAGGCTGCAGTCTCCCCCTTTTCAGTTTGATATGGAAAACATACCGAGGACACAGGTAAATTTTCAAAGGGAACAGTGTACTTTATAACTTCATTCACATCACCTTGGCTACGTTGTTTCACTTTCTCAACAATAAAATGTAAACATGATTTAAGGAACTGCCTATTTTCTTTTTAATATTAGCAACTTAACAGACAGCAGAAATGTTGAGGCGCCGTGCTGCATATATGAGCGTCATCTTCACTGTGTGGATATTTATAACAAAACGGAGCCTATAACAACTGCCTCCTTTCAATTTCAGTGAAAATACGAAACGCACCCTCTCTTTTGCTGAATATCAGTTTTAATAATCGATAATTATAAAAGTATAACATACAATAAGTTTATACATTGTAGGAAATAAAGGCAAGCGATCAGTCAATGTACCTGGATTAATCATTAACTTATCTTTGCGCTTAACCAAAACATGTTACCCGTGAACAAGTAACTTAATAGATTTCAATGACCAAAGTCAGGGAATTGGCCTATGTCGTTAGATAAAGACAACAACATGAATGAAATATCACGTTTAGCAAATTTAGTGAGATTAGATCCAGCGGGAGATGCTTGATTAGCAGTCCGACAAGCAGAGCTCTCATCTGGGTAGAAATGCTGGAGCGCTTGCCCGAGAGTGTCTGTGTGGTCACGTGATGTGCGTTTTCAGCGTTTTGGTGTGGACGGAGAGCTGTTCAGAAACGCTGGGTAAAACGCGAGAGTGGACGCGGATCGTTTTCATTCTACAACGCCGTTTTAAAACTAAAACGCACTAGTGTAAACGGGGCCTCAGTATGGACCTTCTTGAGTCAAAAAGACATGTTTTGTCATATAAACAAATGCATATGATAATTTAGCCTCTTACAACTGGAATTTCAGTCTTCATTCATTTTCTTTTCGGCTTAGTCCCTTTATTAATTTGGGGTCGCCACATGCAGCGTAATAAACCACCAACTTATCCAGCAAGTTTCACGCAGTAGATGCCCTTCCAGCTGCAACCCATCACTTGGAAACATCATTACACACACACACATACACTACAGACAATTTAGCAAACCCAATTCACCTATAGCACTTTTTTTTTTTTGACTTGTGGGGGAAACCAGAGCACTCAGTAGAAAACCCACGCAAACACTGAGAGAACATGCAAACTCCACACAGAAATGCTAACTGACCCAGCTGGGGCTTGAACCAGCGACCTTTTTGCTGTGAGACGATTGTGCTACCCACTGCACCACCGTGCTGTCAGAATTTTAGTCTTCACACCCACAAATATATAATTTGTTACTGAAGCAAATACCACTTTTACCATATTTTAAGATATTAATTGACGTACAATTTGACAGCCTCAGTCTTATTTATTTTCATTCAAATTAAATATTTAGATATTTGAAGATATATTCTTTGAATATTTATTCTTTGAAGATGTACAGTTTTGTGTTCAACAAAACATTATAAAGGTTTAAAATGACATCACTCTAAATAAATGATGTTTTTTATTTGATTTTTCAAAACAGAAAGCAAGTAGTGCTGCAGCCAACCCTCCTCTGGCAGACGGTCTTCTGGTTTATGAGTATGTTGGTCAAGGATCCCCTGCTGGCTCCCTTGGATGTTGCAGCATCCTTGAGTCTGATGATGACCTGGAGTTCCTGAACAACCTGGGTTCAAAGTTTCTTACATTAGCCGAAATATGCAATCCTCCAAAGCCTTCTTTACCTCCTACCAAAACTGAACAAGTTGTCAAATCGGTTGAAACCAGCTACAAATCTGAGAGTTCTGTCAGCACTAGCACCATCCAGGTTACTAAAGAAAAAACAGCACCACAGCAGGTACAACAAAGCTCTGTAACCAAAGTCGAGACGGTTAATACATTTGCAACACTACCAACAGCAAGCCAAACGGTTTATGTCGAACAGCAGCCTCTATTCTACTTTGTGGAAGAGCAAATGCCAAACATTTCATTCGTTGAGAGTCCCACTCAGGGTTTGTTTGTAATAAACGGGAACCACGGGATGGAAGGTTTGATTCTTCAAGACGGAAAGATTTCACAGCGTCAAGGACAGCAGGCAATGTACTTGGTTAATGGAGCCGCTGTAGCCGCTAATCAGCCAATACAGTTCCAAACAGAAGGCCAGGAACAGGAGGGTGTGCTGGGATTCAGTTCTCTCTCATCTCCTATTGGATCACATAAAGGTGTAGTGCTAATGCAGACACATTTTCAGGGGAAAGCAGTGCAAGGGGATGCTGGAAGATCACCAGCGAAGCTTGAAAAACAGAACAAGAAGACCCTGTCTACTTCGTTATCTAAATAGATTCAAGAAGAACCACATAATAGGGTTCAGGGTGTTTTTTACCCCATTTGAAAAAAAAATGTAGTACATCAGTACTTTGACTATTAAAATTGGCTATAGAAAGATTTAGAGATTACTACTTTGGAAACATCATTACATTTCTGTTGTGTGTGGAGATACTGGCTGTATTTTTTGGAGAATGGATTTCATAGTAAATAATTCGTTCTAATATTGATTTAATAGTTGCATACAAAGATTTGGGATTGTCTTTGTAACAATATAAAATTCTTTATTGAAAAGTGCTGGATACTCGATCATTAGTGAATACTGTAAGGGGGGTAATTATGCCTTTTGATAGACTTAATATATTTTATACAATGTTGTTAAAGCTTTATTATGAGCTTAACAAAACTTAGTAACTGGGGCTTTAGGCCCATAGCCAGACGGGGTTCGAGTGGTGCAAAAGACCCATACCTCCCTGCCAAAGGTCCAGAATTTGTCCCATATATGAGCTTATTTGTCCTATTTTGACTGATACACCATCCTAAATAGTGAAATAATCCATTGAAAAAGACTTTAAGACCAAGCCGAATCCTCTGTTGGCTGTTGCTCAATATAAAGTCCAATATAGTCCAATATAAAGCTGTGCAAGAAAGTATACAATCTGATGATGTAAGGGAAGTTATATTTCTCTACTGTATTGTTTTTAAATAGATAAAACATTTTACTAGTAACTTTTATTCTAAATCTCTCTCTTAAAACAAATAATAACCCATATTAGGATTATTTGAATCCCGTCTAGGCTATTGTTGTTATCCATAAATTTTCAGATGGACTTTATTACAAGAGAGACTACAAAAATCGTGAAGCTCAACATTATTATTATTATTATTATTATTATTATTATTATTATTATTATTATTATTATTATTATTATTATTATGTTTTAAGTGTTGTATTATTCAAATGTCAAATTGTGACTGAGGAAAGTTGAATGTGCTGGCCAGTTTGTTATTTGCCTAATAAATGTCAATAGGCAAGTTTTTTTTTTTTTTTAAAAACATGAACAGATTCTCTTTTTTTCTAATGATATAGGATAAAATAAATTAGTTTATTTAAAAATCATATTTTATCATTATCATATTTTAAATTATCATATTTTTTATATTTCTTTATTTTAAATTCTCACTAAATGTTTTTGGTACATCAAAAAGTGTGTTTATGCTGACCATCCAAAAAGCTAATCCAGTTTTAAAAAGTGCTTAAAATGTCACTGAAATGCAGTATTTAAATCTAAATCAATTTAAATCAGTAATTAAATAGAATATGAGGCATATAAATGAAGAAAAGTCCATTTTTTTGGGAAAAAAAGAACCATCCCTTTCACCAGGCTGGCTACAGGCCTGGGTTTACAGTGATATTAGACATGTTTTCCTTAGAATTATAAGGTTCTATCTGACATTTTTGTCAAAATAGAGTTATTGACATATTCTTATTAAATGTCAACTTATTTACATGATGGGATGTTTTTTAAAAATGGTTGACATTTTATGACTTTTTATTTAAAAAAAAAAAATGTTACACACATACTGTTTGCTATGGAATGCAAAAACTTCGAAAGCTCAATATTTCAAAATCATTCAGAATGCAGATAGAACCTTATTCCAAGGTGACGATTTGCAGCAGTGTTCACACGGAGTAACAACTCCTAATTTTCATCCAGTATCTTTACACAGAACATATTTTCATGCTAATTTACATGCTAAAATCAATGAGCGTACGTTTTGTGAGTCAGTAACTGCAAAAGTGACTGTTGCTGTCTTTAAAAAAATATATTAATTTTGGTTGATGGATGGATGAAGACAGCTGTGAGTAAAAGGGTTTTGAGTGATTTATCTGTCGAAAGAAGTCAATGATTGACAAGAGAAGTGATTCAAAAGCAATGGAAGCTTTAAAAATGTACAAACAGATATGATCACTTGAACAATAAAAAATAACCCTGAAGCAAAAGGCTAAGAACGCAAGAAACGGTCGGGAATGAACAAGTTCAGGAAGCACAATGTGAAAATCCAACTGAAGAGAGTGTTGATAAATGTCTGGAGGGACAATCATAACGTCCTTATTAAAAGGTCATCTCTTCAGTTGTTTATGTCAACACCATCTGGAGCATTTAGAGCTGAGGTTGATCATCATTCAGATTAACAGCCATACATGTGACCAGATTTTTTGACAGCTGGTGGAGGAATCGTTTAAGGAATAGTAAAGGACATTTTTTATGTGTGAGTACATGTTACAGATGGAGAATGGAAAAAAAAAACTAAAGAAAAAAAAATCCTTAACAAAAACTGTTTTTTTTTTTCAGGTGTTTGATTTGGACTTGTGATGTAATGTGATCTTTTTCTGCTGTTATCATAGTTATTTTTATTTCTCTATATTTACCTTAAAACATTAAAGGTGCTGTAGAATGAATATCTGGATATATCTTGGCATAGCTAAAAAAATAAGAGTTCAGTTCATGGAAATTACATATTGAGAGCCAAAACACCATTGCTTCCTCATTGTCATAAAAATCCTGTGAGTGTGAAAAGCAGGCCAATCAGAACAATGAACATTGAATGTTTCTGTTTTTTACTGACTAAATTCAATCAATATTGATGATTATCCAGTGGGGTTTTTTCTGCATGAATCAATGAAAATATTATGTTGATTACTTTGGGACAAAAATCTTGAATAAACTCCTTTCTTGCTCAAGTTGTGCGGAGATGTGTTTTCCATTTGTTACTGCTGTGAGTGATGTGTTATTTAGCCCGGCAGCTTTCTCGTTAACCCTGAGAAGCGGTTTCAAAAAAAGCTCATTTTATTTGACGCTATACCTGCTGAAACCTGCCTTACCAGTAGTTTTCAAATGCAGTCATAAACCCGTTTTTTAACACGAGTCCTTATGCCCCAGGCTATGAGCTAAAGAATGACAATGACAATTTTCAGAAAATATATGACTATCGCTTATATGATTTAAGACTTTTAAGCCTACGAAGCATCAATTTCCCATGCCTTGCATGACGGATGAAGACAATGATCTCAGCATGTCTGAATTTGAAATCTTTAGAAATCATGTTCAAGCATATCTGATCAGGTCTCATTTTGGGGTCAAGAACTAAGCATTTAAAAAATCTGTCTTAAGAGGTTTGACCAACTAGCAGTAAGCCAAGTGGTTGTCTTGTTTTTTTGAATTCAAACTATAGCAGTCAATGATTTTCTAACCTAGCTTAATTTAAAAAGTTATAACCAGCCCTAAATAGAAAAAATACTTTTTAAGACTTTATCCAACCATCCACAGGCACTCAATCTTATATGAAATACAATACAAATAAAAAAAGTCATATTTATTCTAGTGAATTGCTTTATCCAGTCTTCTCTTATTGGAACATCTAAGTCATTCTAGAGCAAGGGTGTCCAAACTCTGTCCTGGAGGGCCTGTGTCCTGGAGAGTTTAGCTCCAACCATAAAGCACACCTGAACCAACTAATCAAGCTCTTACTAGACTCTGGCTGTTTCTTAATTCCAAGAACGCAGAGAACGGACTTGCGTTCTTGTGAAGACCGGTCTTGCCAGGTGTCCTCGGAAGAACGAACTCAGGAGACCGCGAGGGCAGAGAACGCGTCCTTTGAGAATTGAGATGCTGCGTTCTTCCTGATGGTCACGTGACCTTCACGTGTTTTAAATGGTAAATTATTTAAACATTACAGCCTTCATACAACGATTTATTGTTTTTCCCCTTTTCAAAATTGCATAAAACATTATAAATATATGTTGCACAATATAAATAAAACAGATTTTAATACGAATTTCAGCAAACAAACATCCTTAATGTTTTTATTTCTTTATTAAGATGTCCATGGTAATGTTTACTTTCACGGTGTCATTTAGGGAAACTCCTGAGGTAAATAAGTGATATCTCTGAACTTTAATAATAAATCTAAATAAAATGCTGCGCTTCCCATCTCCAGTCGCAATGACTTCTGGGACTTCCAGTGCGAGTTCGGTGCTCAAGTCTGCATCAGTGCGTCCTCGATATCAAGATCACATCCGGGAAGTTTCACGCGTCCTCCGTACTTGCGGTCTTGAGTATTGGAACTGAACTTGGGCAGCTGATGATGACGTTGCACGAGAACACGAGTACGCAAGACCGCTGAAGAACGCATATTGAGAAACAGCCACTAGAAACTTCCTGGCAGGTGTGGTAAAGCAGGTTGGAAGTAAACTCTGTAGGACATCGCTCCTCCATGGCCGAGTTTGGATGCACATAAACTGATTATGGTGTTAATGAGGAGACCAAAAAGGAATTCTTCAAGACATGCCACTGTAAAAAATAATACCCTATATCTACTCAATAAATTTGAGGCAACAGATTACAAGCAATATTATTAATTAAATTCAACATATCTGGATTGAGTAACAATTAATCAAATTAGCTTATTTAAAATTAGTCATTTAAATTGCGTAACCACAAAAAGTACTTAAAGAAATTAGTAAATTTTAACAGAAAAATCGACACAATGTTAATAAAAACTATTCAATGTTTTTATTTAGATTTAACATAAAATGTGTGGAGCCTGTTCATCAGCTCTAGTGTATGAGTGTGTGTATGAATGAGTGTGTGGATGTTTCCTAAAGATGGGTTGCGGCTGGAAGGGCATCCGCTGTGTAAAGATGTGCTGGATAAGTTGTTGGTTCATTCTGCTGTGGTGAACCCGGATTAATAAAGGAACTAAGCCGACAGGAAAATGAATGAATGAATTACCTGTTCTTGACCTTTTTAGTTAAGTACCTGTTGCTAAAACAGTTGTTTAGAACAACAATGGCCAGGGGTTAGGCTGTGAGAAGCCCTTCTTACTACTCAGATTCCTTCATATCAATTTTGAAAGGCTACATACAGTAGGTATAATCTTTCCCTGCTCATAAAAAAAACCCACAATCCTGTAGATTCAATTTACAGACAGTAGGGCTGACATAGACCTAATGAAGCAGATCCAGGTCAAGCTTGAAGATGCAGATGTTTGGATGTGTAGATAACTGCTATGTTCATATATGGTCTTTCCTGTTCCCAGATGAACACACAATATCCTTAACCGGGTTGTACAAGTTAGTGATGTTATGAGCAGCCGAGCACGTGCAAGCTAAAATAAAGAAAGCATATGGTTCCTGATAACTCTCTATTTTCATATCAACAAACTACAGGATGTGTGCCTGGAAATCTTTGTTCTTACTCTGAACATTGTAGCTGGTTTAGGTTAGGGTTACATTTTTTTGTGGATGTTAAGTGCTAATACAATGAAGTGCAGTAGGGGGACTTACTGAGTTACTAAAGGAGTTGTTGTAATATACAGAAGAAGAGTAAAGTTAGTTCATAGATGTATACACTAGATATCGCATAGGGACCCTGAGCATGCGTCAATAGCCTCTTTCACACATACAAACCTTTCCGGAAAATTGCCGGCAATTTTCCGGAAAGGTTGTATGTGTGAACAGGTCCTTTTTGAAAATACCGGTAAATTCGTTCTGGCTATTTTCCGGAAAGAGAAGTTGTAACATTACCGGCAATTTGCCGGAATGCTGCGCTGTGTGAATGCAGAAGGAAGATTGCCGTAATAAGCGCGTGCACGTCTTGAACGTGCTGACGTGAGACGTCTGCTTTAGCCAATCACAACAGTCAGACGCATTCACGTGCGGTTTATGAGAATAAAAGCCTTTGAATATTTTTCCAGACACATTTAGCTGCTAGAAGTTAGTCAGATCACGTTTATATGTTCTTCTTAATGCCAACTGTATAAATAATCATCGATGAGATGCTTATGACAAGCCGTTGTTTGTTTACCTTCAAGCTTTGCGTGTGCCTGCGAAACAGCCTGTGAGCGCCAGCACACGCACATATCATGAACATCTCGACATGCGAAAGTGATCCTGCGAAAGTTGTTCACAATATTGATTATCCACAGAGTTTGTAATTTAGTCAAATGTTTACAAATACAAGCGCAGCCGTTTAAAG